CCTTTAGGCAGGGTCTTCCGTTTGAAGAAGACCCACGGCTTCAGCTTCTCACCGCTGGCAGTGCAGGCGAGCATCACCGTAACTCGTTCCTTCTGATAGCCGCCGCTGCGGATAAGCACAGAGCGCAGACCCACCTCCTCGACTGTGCGTTCGGCAGTCATCTCGAGCCACAGTGGTGTCTGGTCCGCGTTTATTATCCACTGCGGGTCAATCTTGTATTGGCGGCGGGTGTGACGCACGAACTTCTAGAAATTCCTGACGTCAGTCTCGTAGTCTGGGAGTACGGGTGGGAGGGAAAGAGAGAAGACAGTATTAATGACGCGTTAAAATTCAACTGTGAAACATAAAGAGACAAACAACACAAAGCAGTACACATTAAACTGCAACCATTTCCCACAAAACTCACTGGCAGCAAGCTTCTGGCCGACCCTGGTCTTCGCTCGGGTTGTCAGATTCCAACGGCGGCGAAACCGCTCAGTCCACCGCTGCGAGCCGGACCACTTTACCTGTGGGTGCAATTCTTTCATCACCTCATGCGACCACTTCTGTAGGCGAGCGATCGAGACCGCGAGACATTTTTTACGGTGAGCAAGAAACCTCCTGTAGACTTCAGCTTCCATGTCGCGATACCACGAGCTCCTTCCGCGCCCATGAAGACGCTTGCGAGCAGCATGCGCGCCCTCCAGGTCAGCCTTCCGGGTCTTCCATTCTGCGAGTGACCTTCGGGAGATGCCGGTTTGGCGAGACATCTGCCGCACGCTCATCTGCCCGGACTCAAGCTTGAGAATCCACTGCAGTTTCTCCTGCGATGTGTAAGAGTGCCGCTTGTGACTTGAAGGCTTGTGCCTGGGGGAGGGAGGACGGGCATCGCGATTCTCGCGAGAAGGGTGGGGCCGTTTCTTATTGGGGGGGGGAAAGGTGGGAATAGGCAGGTGCTCCGGAAGACCGTCGGCAGCCCAAAACTCCACGTCATCCTCCGCACCAGTCGCGGATTCGTCCAACGGGCAATCAGCCGGGGCTCCCCAGCGTGGCGACGGTGCGGAGGAAGACGATGCGCCACCGGCGCGGTCGGGCTCGGACAGGTACGCGTCAAACGCCGAGTAGCCAGGAGGGAGGAGAAGCTGCAGGACCCCCTGACGTGGAGCACCAAACACAGGCGGGTCAGGAGGGGACGGAGGAGCTGGAGGAACCGGAGGCGCCGGGGGAGCGGGAGGTGCAGGAGGAGTTGGAGTGGGAGGAACGGGAGGAGCTACTGGTTGACACGGAGGGACGGGCGCAGGGCGCGACTGCCATTGAGAGTAGTCACAGGTGTCTCGGCGGGTGTTTTCTCTGGCAGCAGGATGGCGGCGGAACAAGAAATGCGTGCCTGGAAGGCCCGCCATGGCCACGGCAGGCCAAACGAACAAAGAAACTGAAGGCAAAAGTCGAGAATGAGGGCTGTATGAAGCCCTCGCCCGAGACCCCTTCATTTTCGCGGCCCGGCCTCCTCTGCGGGAAAAGGGTGGCCCCAGTCAAGATTCCCCGCAGAGGAGCTGAGCTGGGCAGCTCCTTGCCTCGGTGGCGGGGAATTTTGCTGTTGATGGGCACACCGTGGCTGAACCACGACGTGCCCACGATCGCATGCAACCCTGATTGGGCCGCTGTGATGCGAGGTACGTGTGCACTGGCATGGGCCAGGTTCACGTTCGATGAACCTGGCCTGGCCAACAAGGCGTGGAAGGCGTGAAGCCACGCCTTGTTGGCCGTTTCACGCGCAATGCATGCACAGTTTCGAACGTTCTCGACCCAGGTGAATCCGCCTTTGAGAATGCTTCAATTTGATATATTTAAAAACAAATTTCAAATTTGACAAATTATAAACGCCGACGCTTATAAATTTACTATATTATAAGCCCACCCCCTCAAAAAAACATGTTATATGATAGCCCCCCATGGGGGTATATCCGGGGGGTGACGGTATTACTTATTGGAAAGGTTTATCCTCAGCGGACTCAATAAGACTGACTGATATGAATGAACTTGCAGAGTGCGCAGAATAACGAATAACGAGAATGGTTGATTACCGAATTACTGAATGACGATAAGGAAAGTGTAGAGGAATTGCGATTGGTGATGGTTGCGATTGGTGCGGAGGCGACTCGGGCGTGGTTCGGTGCGACGAATTAGGCCGAACAGGCTCGTCGCTTGACCTTCGGGATGTCCTCGCTAATAACTGAATTCTAATTCCTTACACTGACTGATGGACGAACACAATCCTGCCCAGTTCAGCACGAGACGTATGTGAAACTGCACTAGACATTCAATCTTGAATATTGTGCTAGTGACAATTGCACTCACCACGTCAACATATACAATGTGAAAATGAATGTTGGTTAAGGTAGCACAATCTGGTGCAGATGTGGCATTAGTGATGCCCATGCCCCCTTTCCAGCATTGGAAACTCATCCATCCATCCTTCCAAGCAACCCATCCACATGTTTGTCCAAAATCCCGAGGGGCAGCCCAACGCTCTGGCATCGGCTGGGATCAGGCTCATTTTCTAGAAGCTATCTAAACGGATTTGGAGCGCCGCAACAATCCCCCAAAATTCTCCTAAGTGTATGCTGACGTGCACAACTTATCAAGGGAATGCAGTGAGAAAGACCAGCTGATGACCATCAGTCCATGACGATCTTCTTGGATTCGGGCATCTCCAACGGCTCAACGGACCTGAACGAATGTGATACAATGTGCGTGAAAGCATTCTCAGAAAGTAGTTGGGCCATTCTGTTAATTTAAGCCAGCTGGAAACAAGACACGCGGAAGGGGCTCGGGAAAGACTCTTTCCATTTCGTCAAGTGTGGGGTTCAGATGAACAGATTGGTGAAAGAATCTTGAATAAGATGGATTGCACGCGCATGCCACCAGTTAGCCACAGCTGAGCCACGCCCGAGCGACACGCAAGCTACAGCGGACCCATGCGCAAGCCACACGCACCTCTCTTGGAGCTGCTCCTCGCCTGCATCAGGGTCGTAGTTGGGGTCGTTCTTATCCAGAGCGGCCGCCACCGGCTCGAACTCCGCTCCAACATTTCCCCACGTGTGCTTCCCTCCGCCCCCCCCTAAGAAAGGCAGCGTCAGAAAAGAAATGAATTCACGTTCTACATCCGTTAAAAACAGCTTGGGTGGCCATCGAGGAACAAATGAATTGACGACACGCTTTATAAAATCGAAATGCGATTCTTCCATCGAGAAGAGAACAGATTTGTAAGTGATTCAATGAGTAAATACCTTTTTTGGGATCTCCGCGAACGCCAGTTCCTACACAGGACACGGACGAGAAGTATAGAAGACAGGAGATTAACAACCGTCAGTGCACAGAAAAAACAATCACAACTATTCTTCGGTTTTTGTATATATACGTATTTCCCAGAAATATATCTCAACGAATCCGTACCAGAATGACGTTCCATACGCTCTATCCCTTTCTGCACGTTCTTCTTGTGCTCATTCTCCTGCTGATGGCTCTCGTGATGGTGAGCAGGCTTCATGGTTCCAGGGTTAACGGCTTGAACCTAATACAGAGAGAACCGTTTACCGAGAGTCGCCTATACGCTCGTCTAGTCCTAGCCTGGAAATCGAACAGAGACTAATGAAGATGGCATACGCTGTGCAATGAGTGCGATAGGAGCTAGCTGTGTTCTTGGTGCTGAAAATTGTCTCCGAAAAATATGTCGCATTCCCCCCCTTATTTCTCTCTGCTTGAGATTTGTGAGGTGAAAGAGATCTGGCAGGTTGAGAGGGATTACAGGGCCCCGCATGCTGGACATTGTTGACACATGTGATGGGGCTTGCCAGCATCAGGCAGATGTAAGTAAATTTGATCTGGCGTCATGCCACGTGTATTTCCAAGAAAACTGCACACATGGCGCCCTGACAGCTAGTGTTTGTGTTGCGTCAGCAGGAGTGGCAGAGTCAGCAGGTGACACGGTCGCCAGCACCAGTAAGGTGACTCAAGTATTCTACCTAGTGTGCTGGCGACCACGTGAGGTGTCTTGTCAAAATCTGCTCCGATATACTATTGCTGCATGACTCACAGACAGTGTGCAATCACATGAACAAACTTCGCACCAAAGCCATGCGATTGCAAAAGTCGAATTATTATCCTAGCTACTGAAATGTGATGCCTCATTGTTCACTACCAGGACCTGTATCGAACTCGCAATCGACAAAAGTACTGCTGTGTTTGGGAGAAATTCCGCTGGCACTGATCAGCCCTATGCTGGCTTGTGTTGGACAACTGCTCGCCACGGCTGGATCACTGGTTGTAAGTTGTAACTCATCCTCGTTGATTCATCGACACGTCACAACAGGCTCTCCCAACCACAGGGTAGCGAAGCGAAGCCCCCATGAGTAGTTACCACCTACGCTCTTCATTGCGCTTCACGGGAAGTTCTGCTGTAAATTCGGTGATTTGTTCGCGATGTCTCGACTAACAGGTGGTAGCATGTCGTCCCACATGTCACACGCCAGCGTCCTCGCGCAGGGGAAATCGGGCAAGGAGTGACAGGTGCTGTGGCGTCCAGCTTGCCATCGCTCAACCAGCCAGACCGAAGGCGCCGCCGTCTTGTCCAGCCAGTCACAAACATGGGAAGCTCAAGGCAATATCTAACCGTTGAAGCATTCGGAGGATCCCTTGAACTTCAATCCTGCGGCACAAGACCCACTGGCCACGAGGTGTGCGGCACGCGAGCTCCACCTTGGGAATCTCTTCTCCTCCCACCACCGCAGAACCGAACTCCACATGCCCAACAAATAGGGAGACCTGCACTGCACATCCCTCCGGGGATTTCATTTCACTGAAACGCTCCTCTGACCACCGCCGGCAGCTGCATAAATTCCTCTCGCCACTGCCTGCCGATCATTGTTATCTCTTGCTCTCGGGGAAGTACCACGACCTGACTGTTTCCGTGTTCACAAGGACCATCGTAAGACTTAGTATCTTCATCTACTGTCGGCCTCATGGCTAGTTCAAATCAAGAAGGTTCAGAGTGGCGTGCTAATGGCACATCCGATAAAGGCACTATTTTGGTCACTGGAGGCGCAGGATACATTGGAAGCCACACCTGCGTCCAACTATTAGAGGAGGGCTACAGGTAATGCACACAGGACATCCTCTCGTGCGGAAATTACAGCAGACCGCTCCTCAAGACTCAGTTTTCGGAAGCCTTGCGCTTCAAGATTTAATATCCAGGAACGACACTAGGCAATACTCCACGCTAGTTCGTCGCTTGATAAAAGTTTCAAACCATTTTGGTGCTGTGCTCAGCTGTCTGACGCGGTTTGGTGCGGTGCGCTTGTGTCGTGTAGGGTAGTGGTGGTGGACAACCTCGATAACTCCTCCGAAGAAGCTATCACTCGCGTCGTGGAGCTGACCGGCGACAAGGGAAGAAATCTGACCTTCTTCAAGGTAGGACGCTTACTTTCACTCAGCTCATGCTTTCCATCATGCGAGTTGCCTCGCGCCGTCAAGTCGTCCGGCCAGCAGAGCTGAGTATCGGCGTTTGAAAGTCATAGAGCTAACTGTCATTCGGTTTGCTCGTGCGTGCGCGTGCGTGCGCAGGTTGATCTGTTGGACCGGCCTCTTCTGGAGGAGGTGTTCAAGCACACTGCGTGAGTCCACGACCGTAGCGCGAGCATCGAGATCGCTGTTGCATTCAGCATCCTTGCCGTTTTTTGTGTCGCAAATCTGTTGCTGCATCGCCCTTCGCGTCTCCTGTTTTTAACATTCGTTTCTGGCCATGACTTCCTTTTCTTCTGATTTTCTAACTTTCTTCCATCTCTCAGTTTCGACGCCGTGATTCACTTCGCGGGGCTCAAGGCGGTGGGCGAGAGCGTGCAGCAGCCGCTACGATACTATCACAACAACATCACAGGCACTATCGTACTGCTGGAGCTTATGGAACAGTACGGCTGTAGCAAGGTGAGCTCGTGGCGCAGTACGGCTGTAGCAAGGTGAGCTCGTGGCGCAGTACGGCTGTAGCAAGGTGAGCTCGTGGAACAGTACGGTTGTAGCAAGGTGAGCTCGTGGCGCAGTACGGCTGTAGCAAGGTGAGCTCGTGGCGCAGTACGGCTGTAGCAAGGTGAGCTCGTGGCGCAGTACGGCTGTAGCAAGGTAAAATGAACGCGCAAAATTGCTTGCTTGTCTACTATAATTGATATATTCAACCAAAGGATCACTTTACCACAAGAAGAGTGTCGTTTGTGACTCCCCGTCCGATTCCATGGATGCATACAGGAGGAGTCTCATATGTGTTCGAATCGGGTGCGACTCCCCCCCCCATCCCGTCCCCATGGCTGTGCGTGCAGATAGTGTTCTCATCATCCGCCACGGTGTATGGTCAGCCCAAGAGGGTGCCGTGCACAGAGGAGGACGAGTTGCAGACGCTCAACCCGTACGGCCGAACCAAAGTGAGTCCAGACACTCCCCTCCGTGACAGAATCTGACTGTAATAAAAGAACCGCGGACGGGGCAGGACGAGCGGCGGACGCGCTCCGTCCCTCACTTTCTGCGCACGTCGCACCTGTACAAGTGCGCACTTGCTGCCCGTGCCCCGTTTTTCCTCACCCCTTGCCCGTCGCTGCCTTCCCTCACCCCCTTGCACGCCCCGCGTTCCGTTCTCTGGCGTTTTGCTGCACATAGAGAACATTCTGCAGGACATGCAGGCAGCGTCGCCAGGTTTCGTAGTTGACTCGACATGCAGGCGGCGTCACCGGGGTGGCAGGTTTCTGAGTCTTGACTCGACCCCAAAACCGCTTTCCTGATGCCTGCGCCTCTCCCCCGCTCTCCCTTGTGCAGCTGTACATAGAGAACATGTTGCGGGACATGCAGGCGGCGTCGCCGGGGTGGCAGGTGCTGCTGCTGCGGTACTTCAACCCCGTGGGCGCGCACCCGTCGGGGCGCATAGGCGAGGACCCCCAGGGCATCCCCAACAACCTCATGCCCTTCATCCAGCAAGTCGCCGTGGGCCGCCGCCCCTTCCTCTCCGTCTTCGGGGATGACTATCCCACGCGCGATGGCACAGGGGTGAGTGGGGGAGATGAGGTTGGGAGTGAGGGTGAGTGAGGGGGTGGTGAGGGTGAGAGGCATAGACGCAGGGTTTGGTCTGCCAGGAATGGTTGAGAATGGATGTCTTAGCAAGGATGGAACTGGGGTGGTTGGAGCGAGGGTGTGTGCGGTGGAATGATACATGAGGTGCAGAGGAAAGGAGGTGGAGAAAGTCAAATAAAAGAGTAGTGACAGTCTCTCCTTTGCTCTCTTACTTCATCATCACCTGGCTTTATCCCTGCAAACTATCCACCACCTGCCATTCCCCTCTCCACCACCCACCAGGCCACACGGCAGCAATGTCCCACCCTCACCTGCTATATTCCCTCCCATTCACCTCACTTACACTCTCCTCACTTGCAACCCTCACCCTCCTCACTTGCAACCCTCACCCTCCTCACTTGCAACCCTCCAGGTACGGGACTACATCCACGTCATGGACCTAGCAGCAGGCCGTACAGCAGCACTGCCCAAAATACCCATCCTCACCTTCTGTGTACTGTCCTATACACCCATCTACGCCCCACCAGGTGCGAGATTACATTCACGTCATGGACCTCGCAGCAGGCCACACAGCAGCACTGCGCAAGATCTTCACCACGCCCACCCTCACCTGCGACGTGTACAACCTCGGCACGGGCCGCGGGCAATCCGTGCTGGAGATGGTAGCAGGCTTCGAGAAGGCCTCGGGCCGGGAGATTCCCGTCAAGATGTGCCCCAGGCGACCAGGCGACTGCTCGGAGGTGTATGCGCTGACGGATAAGGCCGAGAGGGAGCTGAAATGGAGGGCGGGTTTGACTCTGGATGATATGTGCCGGGATCAATGGAACTGGGCTAGGGATAACCCGTGGGGGTATTCGAGCTCGCCTGAGGAGGCGCAGGCAGAGCAGGTAGTGGTTGCGGAAGGGGAAGGAGAGGGTAAAGGTGGAAAAGCAGAGGTGACTAAGGGGAGTCCTGTGTGTGAGCCACGCACGCCACCACTCCTGCCTGCCAGTCCTGAGACGAATGCGAATTCAAGCGAGTCGGCAACGAGTTCGGCGGGGTCTGCTCCTTCGCCTTGTGTGCTGGATTCCACACCTCCTGTTGTGGCACATAAGGGGTCGCTTGTTCGCGCTGGGTCTGGGTCGAGTGTGGACTCGTTAGAGGAGCTGACTCAACTGGGGGGTTCTCAAGCAGTAGCGTGATTTTTGAAAACTTGTTTTCTGCTGTGAGGGGTTTTATACGTTTGAATCATGATTTGTGGTGTTATGCTTCTATACAGCTTTGCTAGCCTGGGTGGTGTTATGCTTGCTACAACATATTTTGGTGTAACTTATGCTGAAAATAGGTATACCGTTGGATTAAGTGGTGTAGTCGTCAACATTATTCAGCACGATTTCACTTTGCTCAGGCTCGTCACAGGTTGTGCTTTCCTTGGAAAGTTGTACTCTACTCGCTCGCCGCCGTCGCATCGTCATCACGGATTCTCCAGACGAGATCTGGAGCTCTGCGCGTCAGCCGTTTCTTGACGTCAGCACGGGCTTCGTATCTGAGCCAATCATGCGTCGGCCATTTGCCTACCGCCGTTCCGCGTCCAAGCCTACGCGTAGCGCCTCGAAGAATTCCGCCCAATCCGCCGTTAGTCCGCCAATCCCAATCCCAATCCCCGCACGCCTAAATCGCCGCTAGCGAGCCGAGTCGAGCGCCAGCCTGTCAGCGTGTCGGCGAGTCCACGCATCCACGCATCCACGTGTCCACGTGCCGTGCCATGGACACGTACACGCAGGCGCTCAAGGTTCTCTCTCTCGAACGCGCCGCTTTCCCTGATGCTAGCGCATCCGCCACCGCTTCCCCTCACCCCACGGGCAGCGCCCGTCAGGGTTCACTTCCCGGGCATTGGCGGCGAAGGAGGGGCGGAAGGACTTCCGCGCGCGGGGGACGGGGGGAGGCGTCTGGCGGAAAGCGCGCGCACAGGAGTCAGTCGGAGAAGAAGCCGCAAGCGAACCTGATGCCTCCGCTTTCCCCCATCTCTCCAACCTTCGCGCGTGCTGCGGACGTAACCCCCATACGCGGACACCCGGTCAGCGCTTTGCGCACAGAAACCCCCCCAGGAAGCGCCGTCGCGGCGCTATCGGCGCAAGTATCCCCCGCAGCGGCGGCGGCCGAGGGGGCTCTAGACGGCAGGCGGCGGCGGCAGCGGCTCGCAGGACGGCAGATTGCATGGGCGGCGGCTCCCGCGGAGGGAGGATTTTCTACTTCCGCTGGTTGCGATGAGACAGGGATGGGGGGAAGAGTGGGGGAGGCGCGGGGAGAGGCGCAAGAGGAAGCAGACGTGGTGGAGGTGGTCGGTGAAGGGGGGGAATGGAGGACGGGGAGCGGAGATGCGGAGGCGGGGGGAGAGAGTGGTAGTGTGAATCTGATTAAGGGCAAAATGGATGGGCGAATGGGGGAACAGAGGGGCCGGGCAAGTGGTGGGAAGGGGCTAAGAGCGTGGGAGGTGGCGGGGGGAGATGGTCAGCGGGCGGGGGAGAGGGCCACCGGTCGAGCAGGGGGAACAGAAGGCAGGATAGGGGAAGTGGGGGACTGCGAAGAGAGTAAGGAAGGGGGGAGCGCGGATGATGGTAAGGAGGAGGAAGAGCAGGAGGAGGAGGAGGGAGAGGAGGACGAGGAGGAGGAGGAGGAGGAAGAGGAGGAGGAGGAGGAAGACGAGGAGGAGGAAGGGGAGGAGGAGGAAAGGGAGGAGGGGAAAAAGCAGGAGGGGGTGGGTGGTGTGGAGAGAGCAGGGAAGCAGCTGAGCGGACAGGCGGCAGCAGCAGAGGCAGAGAGGCTTGTGAGTGCCACGAGACAGGCTTCAAGTCAGCACCTGTCAGTGGGAGGAGCATCCACACAAGCAGCGCCGGTGCAAGCAGCAACAACACAAGCTGCATCAGCACAAGCAGCTTCAGCACAGCAGCTGCCATCACAACAGCCCTTGACGATACACTCTCAGCCGCTGCGTAGGGAGCAGAGGGAGGAAGCCGGGGGAGCAGTGCCGGCGATTGAGGCGAAGGAAGAGGGTTCAGGGGAAGTTGCGTCACAGCAGCCACGGGAGGTACCCTCCAGGGCGCAGGGCGCTTCAGAGGCGGGCGGCGCTGGCATGGTCGGTGCTGCTGTAGGTGGTGCTGCTATGGGCGGTTCTGATGGTTGCAGCCCATGCCGTGACTCCATGGTGAAGCAGGAGCATGTGCATATGCCGTCTGATGAACATGGGCATGGGTACGGGCATGGGCACGGGCGTGGGAACAGGGATGGGCATGGGCATGGGCATGGGCATGAGAAGAACGACCCTCATGTGTCTCATAGGACAATTCATCAACAGCAGGCGACCAGTGCCCCTCACTCCACCACCCACCCATCACCCATCACACACTCCCAGCAGCCACCATGCACACCACACACACAGCGCCCACGACAACCACCGCTGCCGCCACAGGAGCAGCAGATATCACAGCAGCAGGAGCCACACTCACAGCAGCATCAACAGCTGGCTGTGTCCAATCCCTCTGCTGCTGTCCCCAGCCCCGCTGCTGCTGCTGCTGCTGCTGTGGCCACTCCAAGGCCGAGGCCCAGCGGGGGCTTCTGGGCCCACGTGGAGGGCTTCTTCCGCCCCGTCACCACCGCTGACGTGGCGCTGCTCTCCCCTGCTGCTTACGTGGCACACTTCAGCCACATCACGGAGCGAGATCCCGCCTTTGCCCTGCCGCCTGCGGGCCACCGCCCACCATTGAAGCACCAGTTGATGTTGAAGGCACAGGCGGGCGGACAGGAAGGGGCACGGCAGGTGGAGGGGCAGGGGCTGGGTCACGGGCAGGGCCTGAGTCCGGGGCAGGGGCACGGACAGGGGAAGTGGAGGGGGGATGCAGAGGGTCGTCTGGGGGGCCAGGGGGATGAGGGAAGGGCTGGGGAGGGTGGGCAGGGGGGAGCAGGGGGAGGAGGGGGACGGGAAGGGATGCAGCTGCAGGGGCCGCAGTTGCAGCAGCAGCAGCGGGGGGGGGAGCAGCAAGAGCGAGGCGAGCAGCAGCCGCAGAAGCGGAGGAGGCAGAGGCAGCAGGGAGGGGTCGTGACGGCTGAGGGGAGCGATAGGCAGCTGCGGAAGAGGAGGGGGGGGCAGGTGGGGGAGGGAGGCGATGGTGCTGCTGCGGGGGGCAGGGCTGGGGTGAGTGACGGGGCAGTGAGTAGTGGGATTGGGGTGGCTGGTGGCGATGTGACCGTGGTGGTGCCTGGGAGTAAGAGGCGACGCACTCGACTGCCTGGCGCTGGGGGTGCTGGGGGTGCTGGGGGTGCTGGTGGTGCTGGCAGTGGTGCTGCTGCTGGTGCTGGTAGTGCTGCTGCTGGTGCTGGCGACAGTGGCGGTGCTGCTGTTACTGCTGCTGGTGCTGGTGCAGCTGCTAGTGAGAGGCAGTCTGGCTCTCCTACTGCCGTCACAGGAGCAAATAGTCAGATGCATGTGGGAGCATCTGGTGCTGCTGCTGTCTGCACTGCTAGTGGCGCTACTGCTGCTGCTGCTGTTGCTGACTGTGGTGCCACGACTGCAGTGGCTTTAGCGGGTAATTTCAGGAATGCAACTGGCAGTGATGCCGGTGTTGCTCATGATTGCAGTGTGGATGCTGGTGGGGTGCGTGGTGGTGCTGCTGGCGCTGCTGTTCACCCTGTAGCCTTACCTCCTGCTGTTCACCCTGTAGCCTTACCTCCTGCTGTTCACCCTGTAGCCTTACCTCCTGCTCCTGGCGCTGCCGGTGCCTTCACTCCTGCTGCTGCTGCTGCTCCTGCTTCTGCTGCGGCGGCTGCTGTTCCTGCTGCTATTATTTCTGCAGCTGCTGCAGCAGCTGCGTGTGATCCGCTTGCGTCTGCTGGCAGAGGGAGGGGGGGGAAGAGAGCAGGGCGGGGAAGGGCCAGGGGAGCAGCAGCGAGAGCAGAGAAAGAGGAGGGGATGCTGGTGACTCTCGTGTCTCCGCCTCTTTCGCATGCAATTGCTCAGGCCACGGGAAGGGGGATGCACGGGGGAGGGAAGGGAGCAAAGGGGGGAGCAGAGGAGGAGGAGGGGGGAGGGGAGGGGGAGGCGTGTGACGTGTGTTGCCAGACGGAGAGCGACGATGCGAACCCCATTGTGTTCTGCGATGGCTGTGACGTGCCTGTTCACCGCCAGTGCTACGGCATCCCCCCTGCTGCCCTGCTGCCCGTGCAGCGAGAGCAAGGCACGAGTGGGGACGTGCAGCGAGAGCAAGGCACGAGTGGGGACGTGCAGCGAGAGCAAGGCACGAGTGGGGACGTGCAGCGAGAGGAAGGCACGAGTGGGGACGTGCAGAGAGGACTGGACCACGGAGAGCGGGTCCAAGGGGGCAGGGAGCAGGGAGGAGGGCAGCAGGGTAGGGAGCAGGGCGGGGATGGTGAGGAGGAAGAGGCAAGTCTGCCGTGGCTGTGTGCGCGGTGCAGCAGCACCCGGCCCGCTCAGGTGCGCTGTGCACTCTGCCCCGTGCTCTCCGGTGCCTTCAAACCCGCCCTCCCCGGCGCCCCTCCCTCTGCTTCCTTGGAGCCCACTGCACCGGTAGCAGAGCAGCAGCAGCAGCAGAAACAAGGGGAGCAGCAACAGGCTCAGCAAGAGCAGCAGCAGCAGCAGCAGCAGCTGCAGGACGAGCAGCAGGATGAGCTATTCGCGCATCTGTTCTGCAGCCAGTGGGTGCCGGAGACGTACGTGGGCGACCCAGAGAGCATGCAGCCCGTGTGCAACGTGGGGGGCGTCACCCAGGAGCGCCGCCGCATGCTGTGCTGCCTCTGCCGCTCCAAGGAGGGTACCTGCATCCAATGCAGCCATGGTGAGTGGTGGGTAAGCCACGGTGAGTGATGGGTAAGCCACGGTGAGTGGTGGGTAAGCCACGGTGAGTGATGGGTAAGCCACGGTGGGTTGAGTGAAGCATCCAGTGCAACGTGGCAGGTCAGTGAGGAGTGCTGTTGCATGCTCTGTGCTGCCTGTGCCGCTGCAGGCAGGGCAAAATGCACCCACAGTGGGTTGAATCAGGCAGGGCTGTGAGAATTGTCAAAAGTTGCAGGCAGGGCTGTGCTTTGAGTCCGTGCGTGGTTGACACTCACTTCTTTGCGTCGCCTTTCCTCTTTCCCACATGCCGATCGGCCCAGTTACCCTGCTCTTGTGCTTCTCCCATCCTTCTCCTTTCTCCCCCCTCTCCTGCACCTTCCCCCCTTCTTTCCTCCCCACCCCCCCTCCTTCCCCCCAGGCATGTGCGCAGTGCCCTTCCACCCCATGTGCGCGCGCCAGGGGGGGCTCCTCATGACCCTCTCCGCCTCCCCCTGCTCCCCCCGCGTGCTCCTCAAGGCCTTCTGCCCCCGCCACTCCGCCCTGCGCCTCCCCCCCCTGCTGCAGCAGCTGCAGGCAGGGGCAGGCGGAGGGGGAGGGAAAGGGGGAGAGGGTGGGGAGGCGGGGAAGGAAGGGGGAAGGGTGAGGGCAGGTGCTGGGGCGGGTGAGAGGGGGCAAGGTGGTGGGGGGGAGGGCGAAAGGGTGGATGGGGGGGTTGTAGGGGGAGCGGTGGGATTGGGGTGGGTGGGAATGGGGGAGGGAAGCAGGGGGGTTGAGAGGCATGGGGAGGAAACGGATGAGGGAGAGGAGGAGGGTGGGGAAGAAGGGGAGGGAGGGGAGGTCGGAGGGGAGGAGGGAGGAGAAGTGGGGGTAAAGAAGGAGGGGGGGCTGCAAGGAAGCTCGGCCAATGGGTATGGGCCTTGCCGGTTGGAGAGTACTGGCAATGACGTGCGTGTGGTGGGCGAGGGGCAAGGAACCGGGCAGATGGATGGGGTTGAGGAGGGGGAGAGGGGCGGAGGAAATGGAATGCTGGTGGAGAGAGAGGAGGGAGAAAGAGAAGAGGGAAGGAGGAGGGAGGAAGGGAGGGAGGGTGCAGATGCAGAAAGGGAGATGAACAGAGGGAATGTTGGGTCTTGTGCTGGTGGTGGTTGTGATGATGGTGGTGGTGCTTGTGGTGCTGGTGATGCTTGTGGTGCTGGTGATGCTGATGCTGCACGTGGTGATGTCATAATGAAGGATGCAAGTGCGTCATCAGCAGCAGCACAGGCAGCAGCAGGGGAGGTAGCAGGGGGGGCACCAGCAGGAGTTGATACAGTGGCAGCAGCAGTAGGCGTAGAGGAGTCAGATGATGATGATGATGATGTGGTGGTGGTGGAAGAGAGATCAGGAAGGGAGGAGGTGGACGCAACAAGAGCAGTTGAAGCAAGGGGGGAGGTGAGAGCAGCAGGAGCGGAGTCATTAAATGGGCCGCCAGAGATGGCAGGAAGGAGCGTGCGTAGTGAAGCAAGAGTGGCTGCTGGTTCTGCTGTGACGCCAGTCGCATGTGCCGATGTGGCGCCAGCAAAGCAAGCCGAGGCAGACGTGGAATGGCCTAGATGGGAGGGCGCTGCTGCGCTGGCACTGAGTCAGCAGGTGCGGTGCCATGCGTATGTGCAGAGATATGCCGAAATGCTGCAGGGGTTAGGTGGGGAGCGAATGGGGGCGTCAGGAAACGAGGGAATGGAGAGGGGGGAGGGAGAAGGTTGTCTGGGGCGTGTGAAGGATGAAGGAGAAGGGGAGGAAGAGGAGGGGGGAAGAGACAACAGAGAGGAAGAGAAGCAAGGAGGGGAGCAGAAAGTGGGCAGTAGGGAACGGGGAGCACCTCTGATTGTATCAAGTAACGCACTGGTGCAGGTGGTACCTGAGGGAGGTACACCTGAGGACGAGGTCACATCAGAGCTCATCATAGCACAGACCCAGCTGCTGTCCGTCCTGCACACCCTCTCCCACCGCTCTCAACACCTGCTGCACCGCATGCTACCGCGCCTGCAGACGGAGAGGCAAGCAGCAGAGGCGCAGCAGCAGGGGAAGGCGGCAGTTGAGGAGTATTTGGGCGTGCTGAGGGAGCAGCGCAAGCAGGGGCGGCGGGACCGGCGGGAGAGGGAGGCGCAGGCTGTGCTGGCAGCGGCTGAGGCTGCTGCTGCTGCGTCTCCCCGTGTGGGGCATCTGAAGCGCGACCCTGCTGGGCCTGCTGGGGTGGGTGCTGCTGCTCCTGCTCGTCCTCTGGGCGTTTCTTCTCTTGCTGCTGCTCCTGCTAGTCCTCTGGGCGTTTCTTCTCTTGCTGCTGCTGGTCCTGCTGCAGGTGCTGCTGCTGCTGCTGCTGCTGCGGGTATGGGTAGTGGTGCGGGTGGTGTGGTTGGTGTGTCTCCTTCTTGGGGGCTTGGTGGGAGGGCGTGGGGAAGGGGATGGGGAGGAGGGAGAGGGAGAGCGGGTGCGGGAATGACGAGGCTGGGGGGAGCGTTTGGCAGCCCCTCTGCTGCTGTTCCTGCTGCTGCTGACGGTGGTACTGCCACTGCTGCAGCGGTTGGTGGTGTTGGTGCTGCCAGTGGTGGTGGTGGTGGTGATACAGGTACGGCTGCTGATGCAGGGCGGGTGCAAGCATCCCCCTTGGCGTCCCGCCCCTCCCTCTTCCCCTCTGCATCAGCCCGCCCTGGGCTTGCTGGTGCTGCCAGAGGGGCCAGGGGGAGAGGTTCGTGGGGCCGGGGCAGGGTCCGGGGGCGTGGGGCATGGACAGGGGGAGGGCGAGGGCGAGTGGGGGGGAGAGTTGGGGGAAGAGGAGGAGGGAGAGTGGGAGGGAGAGTGGGTTGGGGCAGGAGATTGGATGTGTCTTCGGGGTTGAATGGTGTGGGTGTTGAGGGGGATGGACAGATGGAGAGTGGTGCAGCGAGGTATGGGGAGGTGGGGGAGGCAGTGGAGGAGGAGGAGGAGGAAGGGGAGCGCAATGGGGAAGGTGAGGGAGAGGAGGGGGGTTTGTGGAGGGAGTGTGGGGCGTGCTGGCAGAGGGAGTGTGGGCCGCACAGGAGCATGATTGAGTGCGGAAAGTGCCACGTGGCAGTTCACCATTGGTGTTACGGTGTGCCTGAGGGGAAGTTAGAGCCATGGTTGTGCCAGGTGTGCCGCTGGGATTGGATGGTGAAGGGGGAAGAGCGGGACAAGCATCAACAGCAGGATCAGCAAAAGCAGCAGCAGCAGCAGGTGGAGCAGCAAGCGGAGCGGCAGCATGAGCAGCAGAGGTCACAGCAGTCTCGCCCTCCTCCACTTGACTCCCACTCACCTGCACCCCCCCACCCGCCTCCCCTCCCGTCACCAATGCCCTCTCCCCCCCATGTCCCATGTGCCCTCTGCTCTCCTGCTGTGTGCCTGGGCGCTGCTGGGCAGGAGAACCGGGAGGGGGGCGAGGAGAGGAAGAGGGGCGAAAGGGGGAAGGGGGCAGAGGGAGGGGAGGTGGGTGAGGGAAAGGAAAGGGAGAAGCATAGCACAGAGGCTGGGAGACGACAAGGGGGAGAGGCAGGAGCAGTGCTCGGCGAGGTGGGGAGTGGAGAAGGAGGGGAGGGAGTGGAAAAGAGGGGAATTGATGGGGTGACGGGAGGAGAGGGAGTGAGAGTGGAGGGGGGCAGTAGAGGGGTAGATGTTGTGCTTTCAAGGGCAGGCACCTCGCAGGGAGTGGATAGTGGGGGAGAGGAGGAGATGGAGGGGACAGCGAGAAGGGATGGGGTGATAGAGATAAGAGGTGGAGGAGGAAGTGGTGCAGATGGGGGGAAGGTTGGGGTCATGAGCGGGAGCGGGGAGGGGGAGGGGAAAGGAAGGGTGGAGAATTCGGGGTGGCTGGCAGTGAAGCGAACAGAGCAGGGCGAGTGGGTGCATCTGCTGTGCGCTCAGGTATGCCTCTCACTCACCCACTCACTCACTCACTCACCCACTTGCTCGTTCACTCATTCACTCACTCACTCGACCACTCACTCACCCCCTCACTCGTGCACTCACTCGCTCAGTTTCTCACTTACCCACTCACTCACTGACCCGCTCACCCACTTGAAGGCGTCTTTTCTCAAGCTGAATATCTGTTTCCCCACCACCATTCCTCTCGACCCCTCCTCTTCCCTCCAGGTGCTGTTTCCTGACTGTGCTGTGCTGGGTGCGCCCGAGGATGAACCCCTTTGCCTCACTGTGAGTATATCGGAGGGCACTCGTTTGAAGTTTAGGGTTGCAGCCCTCGTTACAGGCACCTCCTTTGAAGCACACACCTTTCCAAGGTAGCACACACGCATGGTGATCTCGGTTCAAGGGATGCTAAGGCCCTTCAATCCACACTCATGCTATCTCTCCATCCCACACTTGCTTCTCCCTGCCTCAGTTCCTTCCCTCTCTTCCTCCCCTCCCTCTCCCACCCCCCTCTCCCACCCTCGTTGTGCTAATCCCGCTCACTCCACTCCTCCTCTCTCCCCCTCACATCATCCCACCACGGACCATCAGGGCGCCGTCCCTCCCACCATACAGCAGCGCCGCTGCTGCTTCTGCCACTCCTCATCTGCACACCCATGCACGCAGGTACGGATTGCAGATTGCAGGAGGGCTGCCAGGGGTGTGAAACGGTCCCAGTGGGTTGAGAGAGGCCAGATTGGGGTGTGAAGCGGGTGTGGGGGCTGAGAAAATGGTTGGGAACCCTTTTGAGAAAATGGTCAGGAACCCTTTTTCTTGTGTGATATCTTCTGTATAACCTCCTCTCTATATCTTCCTGTTTTTCCCCACTTCTAACACGCTCTCCTCTCCACAGGGTTCTCCCCCCTCAATCCTCTCCTCTCATCCCACCTTCCCCTGCTCTCTCTTATCCACCATCCCTTATCTCCCGTTATCCCTTGTTCCCCACCCCTTGTTCCCCGACTCCCTATTCCCCCATCCAAACCTCCTCGCTGCCCGCAGTGCACCACGCCAGGCTGCCCCCGTGTAATGCATCCCATGTGTGCGCGCCACTGCTCTCGCCTCTCCACTCCCCCGCCACCTCAACAGCCACCTCAACAGTCCCCTCCTGTCTGCACTCCTATCCCACCTCCCTATACCGCCACTGCCACTGCCACAACCCGCGCCACTGCCCCCACCACTGCCGCTGTCTCTCCTGCTCCTCCCCCAACAGCCTGTCCCACCGCCGCTGGTATCGCCGCTGCTAATTCTCCTGCCATTGCAGCACCTGCTGCTATTTCCTCTCCTCCTCCTCCTCTCTCCTCCACTCCTTCTTCCATTCCTGCTCCAGTGCCCTCCCATCCTCCCCCCTCTCTCGCAGCAGCACTCCCTCCTCCTCCTCCACCCACTGCCACCACTGCAGTCCCTGTCAAACCCACTCGGGCAGCTGTGAAAATTCACTTGTACTGCCCAGAGCATGCAGCAGCTTCCGGCATCCGAAATCTCGACCCCCATTCCCAGCAATCCCGCCTCCCTAGTAGCACCTCCCTGCTCCCCTCCAACGCACCTCTGTTTCCCTCAAAGCGCCGAGCTTCAGTTTCCTTCGTGGATCATGAGGATCAGAAGAGACGCTGTGTGGGAGTGGCTGAGGGGGAGGGTGGGGATGATGATAGAGTGGGTAGGGTGATGGTGGGTGGAGCAGGGAGACAGGCGTGTGGATCGGAACAAAGCTCGCAGGAAGAGCAAGCAGGGGGTGTGACGACTAGGCCATTGTTGAAGGTAAGGCAAGCATTGTGTGTGGTAATTGCCATTGCAATACGTCTTTTGGGTGTTAAGCTATACATCATGGGCTACGCATGTTTGCTTATGTGTGCATGCTTGTGCCCCTGTGTGCTCCTGTGGCTCTGTGTATGCTTGCAGCTGCAGTTGTCATACCTCGCTACACATGCGGCAGCGCGTGCCCTAAATGCACGCTTGCCTCCAGGCTATCGATACGTGCCCGTCACTAAACTCGATAATCATTAACACGATCTAGTCACTAACAAATCATCATAATGGCCGACCGCCCATAGATGTGCAGCTGTGATTGCACATTTTTTGTATAGAGTGGATAGATTACCGTATAGGTTACGTAGGAGGCACTTCTATAGAATAGTATAGAGGGTGCTGTGGTCTCACATGCCAAGCTTTCACTCAAATTGGAGCTACATTTTCAAGGATATTCCAATGATAGTCCTCCAGACTTCTTGTAATAATTTCTGTAGATGCTTTTTGAATTCAGAACCGATGCACCAACCCGCTATATACTCGTCTCCATCACATCGCGGGATGATCGGAGTTCCCTTTGCCCGCCGAAGCTGTTTGTCAGTCAGCTCAAACCTCCCCGCGAAATCCCGAATCCCGATCCCCCCTTCCTTCACAAAAGCGTTCCGCGAATTCTCAGCACCCTACGCCGCTTCCCCCCATCCTCCCGCTTTTTCCCCCGCGCGCTCGTTCACCTGCACTAAGCGCATCTCATGTTCCTCTTCCGCTCGCTATGGGCCATCAAATCCGGAGTCGATGAAACACTTGGTAACTAGGTATTTAGGACCAGCAGCTATTTAGCTTGACGTGAACGTGCGCCGTTGCCGTAGTTACTGCAGCATCGCCTTAGTATCGCCGTTTCTTCGTGGTGCACGTGCCTCTGCCACATCTATAGTCTCATAAAGGCGTGGTGATAACACTTCCCCTGTGACGCTGCTTCCGAGGTGTCCCTTCAATTTTCATTTATCTAGAAGCAATTCTTCTAGCGCTAAATGGCAGCGTCCTCCCTCAGACCAGCAGTCAACCAGGTTCGGTTCTTCTCATCCACCGACGCTGCATCTCCTTCCGCACGTCAGAACACTGCGTGCATGGCGATGGCTCCCAGCGCATCGATCTCCCCCCACTGCACCCATCAACCTAATCTACGTTTCCAGACTAGTACCAAATCTCGTTCGCGGAGTAACATCACCAGTTCCTTCTTTGGAGATTCTCTGCCTCGGTTTCAACCGGCGTCCATTCCTGCAGCATCAGGCCTCCAACCGCAGCGGAAGGTCGCCAGACGGAAGCTTTGGAGCTCGCCGCAGGCGGTGTTCCAATGGGGAAAGCGGCCGGAGTATAAAGGAACGCCACCACGTGTCATAGTGGTGACTTCGGGGAAAGGCGGCGTGGGAAAGACGACAATGGTAGCTAATATCGGAATGTGCCTGGCTCGGTTGGAGTTTAAAGTCGTCGCGATAGACTGCGACGTGGGTCTCAGGAACCTCGACTTGCTCTTAGGGATGGAGGCTAGGGTATTCCACACCGTTCAAGATGTGTTGGCAGGGGAGGCTCGACTTGATCAGGCGCTTGTACGCGATAAGCGCGTCCCCAATTTCGAGCTTCTTTGCATTTCCAAACCTCGGTCCAAGATTGATTTGAATTTCAGCGGCAAGTCGCTGATTCTCCTTGTGGAAGCCTTAAGAGAGCGCGAGGAGGGGTGCCCAGATTTCATTCTCCTGGACTGTCCGGCGGGGATCGAAGCTGGTTTCATAACAGCAATTACGCCGGCCAACGAGGCGATTATCGTGACCACGCCGGACGTGACGTGTCTGAGGGATGCCGACAGGGTTGCGGGGCTGTTGGAGTGCGACGGGATAACGAACGTGTCGCTGTTGGTGAACCGCGTGCAGGCAGATCTGATCAAGCAAGGCCAGATGATGTCCGTCGGGGACGTCAGGGAAATGCTCGTGAGTCCATTGGCTCCGCACCTCTCCTTAACCCTCCCTCCGCCCCCTTTTCAATCCCCGTTCCCATCACTCGCTCGTTTCCTCCAACCCATTTCCTCCTCCCTCCCTTTGCAAGTACTTTTGAGTGCTGTGCTGTTTTTTCACCTTCCCTTTGTTTGCGTGCGAGAAAATCATCTTGAAGTGACAAACGAGACGTAGACGTTTTGGGTGAACTGGCTGAGGATAGGTATGCTCTTGAATTACTCTCCTGGCCACTTGGTTGACTGCTAGAGACACCAGCCGTGTACTGCTTTGTAGGTCCATTGACCATGCTGCTCCCTCCCCCTCCCTCCCGTCTTCCTTCCCCCCTACCCTTTCCCCCCTCCCCCCAAACCCTTCTTGGTATGATGTGTCAATGTGATCATGCAGGGACTTCCGCTGTTGGGGGTTATTCCGGAAGACACAGCAACCATTGGTGCATCCAACCAGGGAATGCCGCTTGTGCTAAAGAAGCCACCTACCATGGCAGGCCTGGCAATGGAGGCTGCAGCTTGGCGGCTGGCTCAAGGGGAGCAGATGGATGTGGTTGTGCTTCCGGAGGAGAAGAAAGGGTTTCTCGCCTTTTAGTTAAGGCTTGCTCGCCATGGACAAAATCCTGAGTAGAAGGAATGTTTGTCATGTTCCAAATGTAGGCAGTGGTTTAGAGAAGTACGGTAGAACCTGCTTTGTGCATCGTGTTTTTCCTGGTTGCACACTGGGAGTGACACCCATGAATGTATAATCCCCATGATTATTCATGTGTGTGGCAGCAGCCAGGCCAATCATTAGTTTAGTCATGTCCATATGTCTTGTGTTCCTCCATCACCCATGAGGTATTTGCACTGCTTTGACTGGCTGTATTGACGTTTCATACCGAAATGAGCAATTGGAGCATAAGCCCCCTGTGGAAGACAAGTATTTTGCCCCATTGCAAAAGTTCAGATTGAGTTACTTAAACTAAGAGATATCTGCTAAAATCTCAAAACTTTTCTTACTGACTCTAGCCTGACTAAATTAGAGGGCAGGAGGCATTTGGGGCCTTCCACCGAGGAACGACAAAAACCCAGCAGAATCCGAATCGTCCAAAAAGAGGTCATCTGGAACCCTGAATGCTGCATGCACGGTGATGGCCACGGCGCCTATCACAACCCCGGACATGAGAATGGAGCCCACTGATGTCAGTCCGAAGACGACAACCACGGAGATTACCACCATCCCAAGAAACTTTTCCCGCTCGTTCAGCGTTCTTCCAGCGACAACGATCGGCTCCGTGCGGACCATGAACACGTACACCCAGCCAGATCCGAGAAGACCCAGCCACAAAATAGCTGTTGGATTCCAGAGCATGCTGAGGACGACTACCGCGATGAGAATGCCCAGGTAATTCGCCCGAAAGTAGCCCAGGTTCTTGCGAATCCGGCTGAGAGCGTCATTCAGGCTTTCAGGCTTGGCTAAACTGGAGCGGTCAATGAGCTCGTTCCACGGACGCTGCTGAGCGGTGGCTGCAGCATATGACTCCTGAACTTTGGTTATGAGCGACCGTACGGCGGAAGCCGATGGGTTTCCAGCCATGGAGGCTCCTGGAGCAACAGCTGCCATGGAATGACACTGTCTAGAGCTAGTCAATCAAGGCTAGTTGATGGATGGATGAGAATTGCAGGCTAAATGAAGAGTTGGCAGTGAATCGAGGTAGGAGACAGTAAATACTTGCCAAGCACGAAGAGCGATCTGCAAGTGTGCGACAGTCGTAATCCTTGGTGAGCTAAGAATCTGAAAAAAGAAGAGCTTGAAATCTGGTTGTTGCGAAACAGAAGCCAGTGAATATGTAGTAGTGTCTTCACGAGTTTGATGGCGGAAACGAAGGGTGGTGTATGATGGCCAACACCGAGGTGCACAGGCGGAGCTGACACACCCTAGCAAGCGGTACGCGTTTCGGAGATCTGATGTGAGGCCGTGTCTGATTGGTCGTGAGAGTTTTTGCGGACCTAAGCAGCACCGAACCTCGGCAATTCCACCCCGTGAGTGTATAGGTTGGGCGCGTAGGGGTTCGGCGAGTACTTTGTGTGACAGGTTCGGACCCGACCTGAACCTGGCTCAACGGCAAAATCTTGGTTCTGCTACCTGTCTGTTTTGTGACACCGGTGAGCGAATTCGAGGGGTAACATTTGTCTTCGCACAACAACATCGCCAAAACGTGAAGTGCAGCTGGGAGCTTTTCCACACAACGGTCGGTCAGAATCAGCCTACTGAATTCTCCATGCCCAGTCAGAATCAGTTCCAGCAAATCTAGTCGGCACCAATACTCTTGACCTTGAGCAGTCAGGCAGACGAAGGCGGCTTGATCTAGAATAATATAAACTGCTATGGCGTCTGTTCCTGGAGGTGCGGTAGAGGGAAATCCGACAGGGATGCGGGCGCTTGTAGCTAAAGTCCAGGATTCTTATCGGAATGCGATAGCGCAGCAGCGGCCATGGAGCGAGCTGACGGATCGGTCACTGTTCGCGAGACCCGACAACCTTAACGATGCGCTTGGGAGAATTCGCAAAAATACTAGTTACTTTCAGGCGAATTACCTCTCGATCCTTATCGTCGTCGTTATTCTCTGCATGCTCTGGAATCCGACTGCCATTCTCTGGCTAGCTCTCCTCGCAGCCGCTTGGGTATACATCTTCATGGCTCGCACGGATGCGCTGATCATCGCTGGAAGGACCCTTAACGAACGCGAGAAGTTTCTTGCCATGGCGGTCATATCCGTCGTTGTCGTCTTCGGGCTGACGTCCGTCGGATCTATTCTCATGTCGGGTCTGGTGATGGGTGCTGCTGCGATCGCTGCGCACGCCGCCTTCAGGGTCCCTGACGACCTTTTCCTGGATGACAATGAATCTGGAAGTTTTCTGTCGTTCCTTGGAGGAAGAAGTACTGTTCCCATTCCAACGGCCATTTAAGACGATTAGCTCCGTGCGTCCGTCGGATGCAGCTTGTTAGAGGTCCTCCTTCGCCCGTCCCTGCGGTTGTCTGATGCAAGTCTCGGAGTTTATTACGTCTGCTCCCGTTGTCATTGCAACTGATTTGCTTCACCTGTCTTTCAGCTTGCCTGTGTGCATCGCCTGGGCACATACAGCATCTTTATACATTCCTCCACATGGGCTTCATTAGCTCCTCTTGCTTAGTATTATGTCCGTCCCATTCTGCCCTAATC